CCTACCTTCAAATAGTGTCGAGAAATGTGGTTTCAACATTGGAAATCTTTGTGATAGCCTTAAAATATATTTTCATCTTTATTTATAAAGTTTAAAGCTTCAAATATAGTGTAGATCGACAGATCTATGAAAACTTGAAAATTGACGGTCCCAAAATGCATTACAAAATACACTATTTCCAAAATTTGAAATCCATTTTTTTCTCATGTCCATGCATCTTGATGTCGAGATGATCGATTTGAGGATATTTGGGCATCAAAACAATCTCTTATAGTGAAATTGTTGAGGTAGGCTCTGATTTGATTGTTTAGAGCCTAGGCTCTCTATATAAAATTTTGCCTATATATATATATATATCAACTGATCATCAAGCTCCATAGGCATGAAGTATGCATGCTAAGTTCTTGATATTGCTTCTTTCCAGTTTAGTCTGAAAATTTTAAAACTTAGTCCAGCAACTTTCTATCTGTGATTAAAGACAGGTTATTAAACATAAAGTCTGCACGCGTACACGATATGATCAGTTTTATTCTGCTAAACATCCTTCACATGTGCATATAAGCCACCTTAGTAGCTCTATAGGGAATGAGCTGAAAATTAACCTCCTTGCCACGACATGTATCAAGAATCTTCATGAAAAATGTGAACAAACACCATGGTATGGGTCCCTCATTTTGCGGTTAATGGATGGAATTAAAACAGCTACCTTCCACCTCCATTTGCAAATCCATTTCGAATGGGCATGCATGCAGGACGGCTAAAAGGAGCTTATCTCCACCTTGTCACAATAGCGCAAAGGTCCTGCATATACTTAGGTATAGTGGCATGCATATTCCAAAATATGCCTCCTATTCCTGCTGGCCCCATGCTGCCTTTATAAGCCCCATCAAAGTTCAGGTTGAGGCATCCAATATGTTGAGAAGGTGGTGATAGCTCTAGGTTATGAAGCTATTATACATATTATAGTGGCCCTTATGTTTTTTCTTATTTTATTAATATTTGGAATTTTTTCCCAAAAACATTGCTGATTTGGGTCAATTTGACTCTGCTATTTCTCTAGCGCTTCACTTTCAGTTTCACCTTTATGAATATGGGTAAAAATAAAATAACATCACTGTAAAAACTGTTCTATATAGTATAAAAATTTGACTCTTTTCCGTATTCATTCGAAGTCATACATTTTGCTGTTTTAGTAAATATTTTACTTTCTTTGATGTTAGAGTTGTGTTGTGTTGCATGGTATGCTGTGTTTGTAATCCTTATGGCATGACAAACACTAGCTTATATCTTGTGAAGCACAGAACAATCATCTTGTATCAAATATTATATTTATATCGTTTTGTATTCCTTTATCCATGAAGAGTACTTAATATATATCTTGTGAAATGCAGAACAAGCCTCTAATATCAAAAGTCGTCTTTTTGTATGTTCCGGGCCTTGATGCGGCCTTGTATATGTCACAATCTAGCCTTTTGAATAGCCTGAAGAACTATTGTGGGAACCCAAGGCCTGTAATGGCTCTAAGGTTGGTCTGAAGACTCTTCTTTGACACATTATAATTATTTACAGTGTCTTGCGTATTAGTCAATATATAATGGTATCGAATTGTTTTTATGTGGCTGTTTCAATATAAGAAAGTAGACATATGGTAACTAAATAACCACTTGTTGATCATTGGCCATATACATTGTTTTTCAGCTGTGTCTTGGATGGAATGCAGACCATAGATGCACTTCTTACATGCAAGCAGAAGAGGAAGCGCGACGAACCCAATGCTGTTCTTCGAAGAGCAGATCCATCTACAAAACAAGGTTAGTGACCTCATATTGGAACTGTTTTTCTCTTACTTTCTGATTCTCTTTTTCCTTCTCATTTCTTCTTCTATTGATGAAAGAGTTTCATCTTTTGGAGGTAACTAGCACTTTCAATTAGACCTTAATGTGCACTTGATTTTTCATGTTCTCTCCACTGTCTAAAATGTGTATGCAATGTACCAATGCATATTTGGCCAGTTGTTGATTGCATAACTACTAATATTTAATGGGGTATGGTTAGGGCATAGGGCATGTGGCCACCCTTTAAAAAATCCATCTTGGAGATGGATTGAGGACCTAAAACTATGCATATCCATGTTTTGGGTCTCCATGATCATGGATATGAAAAAAAAAGGAAAAAGAATTTTGAGCCCTAGAAAGGTCCATCTGTGCCATTTTCTGGACCCACCATTTTGAAACAGCATAGATCCATGAGATTTTCACCATTTCAGGAACTTCAAGTCCAATGGGTGAGGCAAAAAATGGATGTGCAGGTGTTTCGGGCTCTCAATCCTTGGAAAATGATTTTCTTTTTGAGGTTTTCTTTTGGGGGGAAAGGTTGCATGTGGGTGTGCCGTGCCAAATATTTATCCTATTTATTATTATGGCCAGGTTATTTTATTTGACCATGAGACATTGAATGCATTTGTAGAACTTCTTATAGTGCTTGTTTTCTTATTTTCTCTTTTTATTCATATGGTTCTGTTATAAACAAAATTTTGTTTATTTTGGTGTTTAGAGTTCTTTTCTTTTCATAAAGCTAATTTTGTGTGGGCAAGTGCTATTTTCTCCCCGACTTTTATCTAATTAATTATTCATCTTGAAGATGTAGATTTCTGATTGTCTCACTTGGTGGGGCCCAATTATTGGTCATCTGAAGGGATTATGGTTATGGGTTTTTTTATTCTCGTGGTTGCTTCATGGAGGTCCCTGTCCAAATGCTCTTTATTTTTTTTAATTTATTCGGACTGGCTTTTGTTTCCCTACATCATTTGGAATGACATCATGATATTCATTGGGAATTGAAGAAACAAGCTACTGGATCCAGAAATGAAACTACTGTAATTAGAAATTACTCCTAGTGTAGATAACTGGTCAAAAAAGAAAAAGAAAAGCAGTCCTCTCTTCAAAGCTGATTGAGGTGTTTTACATTTAAATCCGATATATGATCCCCTTTTAGCGTTGACGTCATGTTCTATAATCAACTGGTACTTATTTGCTAAGGTGATCTTTGGGAAATCCTCTATATCAAACAAATATTGGTGGCATCTGTGAATTGAGTAGACTTTTATGATGTAGGTAGCTCTCTAGAAATCTATTAAATTAGGTGGCATTTACTGTTGTCAACACCCTACTTAAGTTGCCAAATTCCAACATTCTAGATTATCTTGACTAGACAAATTTATTTTCTTTTTTCATAGTACCCAAATGCTACTTCATGATGATAGGTATAGTTACAATATGACCTGAATGCTAACTATGCTGCTTAAGTTGATAGAAATACAAGTACTAGACACTTTTGAGTTCATTTTGTTCCTTTTCGTTTCACTGATTACTTAGAATATTCTGTGAGGGTGTTTACAACATCCAAAAAACTTGCCAAAGATAGTAGGAGATACTTGTGCTCTGAATTGCATGATTGCGTGTGTTGTTGAGACATGTATATGCCGTTACAAAATCTGATTGCAGGTCTCCATTTGCATGATTACATGTTATGTTGAGTTGCTTTGTACTGTAATACTTATTTTATTTACCATTTTTTTCAGCTTCTGATAATTCATGCTCCCTAAAGAACATAAAAGACCTACCTTTTCCGCCTTCGTATTACACGCTCACAGAGAAGGAGATGGAGGATAATGGGTATCACTTTAGTTGTTCAGGTGGTTCATTTATTGAAATTAATGAGCCATTAAGCATCTTATATCAACAGACCTTTTAATTAATGGTTAAGTCCTTACGTGTTATGTTCTAACCTATTAAATGCAGGTCTTGTCTCCACTGTAAATGCTCCATCAGGCTCTTGTGTTTACGACTTATTGGCACTTGACTGTGAGATGGTAAAACTTCTCGAACTCCATGAACAAAACCTATTAAATAAAACGGATCGTGTATTTAAATAAATAAATAAAATCTAGTTTACTATCTCCACTGACCATCATCATCATCGTCAAAGCCTTTTCCCAACTAATTGGGATTCGCGACACAAATCCTGGTTTGTCATTCTGCTCTATTAAGGGCCATACCCTTAATGAGGCTATAGGTCCCCATATCTTTTCTCACTACTTCCAACCATGTCTTTTTGGACTTACCTCTTGTCCGTTTTGAGCCTTATACTTGAACTAATTCGCACCTCCTAATAGGTGCGGTACTGGGTTTGTGCCACACATGGCCAGCCCACCTAAGGCTACTCTCTCTCATCTTATCACGTATTGGTGCCACACCTAAGTTTTTCGAAATGTATTCATTTCGAATTTTATCCCTTTTTGTCTTGCCACTCATCCATCTCAACATCCTCATCTCCGCTATAGGTATATTGTTTTTTGACCGCCCAACATTCGCCCCATAGCGCAAAGCTAGTCTCACATCTGTCTTATAGAACTTGCCTTCAGCTTCATTGGTATGAGGCAATCACATAAAATTTTGGTTGCACATCTCTACTGATCTAGTTCTTCAATTCTCTTATTTATGATTTTGTAAAGTTCCTTATGTATAAAGCTGAGATAGCTTTCATCTGTGAAATAGGTGTAGATGTAGTTATACCCCTATTGATATGAATTCCTGTATCAAATTTCAGTGTTACACAGCTGAAGGATTAGAGCTTACCAAAGTGACCTTTGTTGATATTGAAGGAAAGGTGTGTGTTTCTGCTCTCTAGAATTCTTGGGTTTCCAGCATGTATATCTGTGATGTTTGTGCATGATAGTTCTTATCTGGGTTGCGATGGAGTCAGAAAAGCCCTTGGAACTAAGTCGTGGTTCATAATATGGAATTTATGCTGTTTTTATAAGAAATAATTTATATATCTCATATCCATGCAATATCCATGCTATGGTAGAGTGTTTAAGTAGATGTTAGGGAGAGTTGGTGATGATCATGATTTCACATATTTTGTTATGGTTTCTATCCTTGTTGAGAAAGTTAGCCGCCTTGCTGCCTAGGCAGTTGAGGCCCCAGGCCGCACCAAATTGATGTAGGAAGGCACCGTATGCGCCCCTTACAAAAGTGTCCATCTTTGGTCCAAGGCGCGACCTTGGTGGGTGCCTAGAAACTGCTAGGCGAGAATCTTGGCCTGCCTCATACTGCAAAACATAAAAATGGGGAAAGTATTTAAAACCATGTATACTGTCCTATCAATTTTCTCATACCTTCTTTAAAGCTTCTTCCGCTTGAATTATTGGCTAATTATCGAGGCATTATTTTTGCCAAAATCATGGGCTTAATGTTCTTAAGCCCAAGTGGAACAATTCCAAAATCCAAACCATGGAATCTGCTTCAGTTTCTTAAGACATGCAAAATGCCACCTAGTGCATTTCTAGAAGTTCCTTCTCCCTAAGAAACATATACCTTTTTTGTCTTTCCTCAGCCTGCATTGGATACAATTGGTAAAGTGTATGGCACTGGTCCTCCAAATTTTTGACAGAATATCATCTCATTTTGCCAAAATATTATGTTAGGGTAGTGATTCATGCAATAGTTGTATAATAATATAATGCAACAACCTTCAAAAACACATTTGTTTGATCCATATTTTAAAATATGCACTATTTTCATTCTAATGAACTATCACAAAAAAGAAAAATTTGAAAATGCAACCTAGAAAGTATTTTCTTAGCCCAATTAATATAGGCCGTCTATTTTGGTGAGATGCTTAGATCTAGGCTTCAGAATGATCTTTTTTCTCTCCAAATTTTGTAGCTAATTTTATTATCATTAGATTAACAATATTAAAAAAAAAGGATTTTGAATTCATAAACCTAGATCTTGAAATTCATCAAATGGACGGTCTAGATTTATTGTTGGAAAGGACTCATTTTGACCATATATAGGGTGCAAATTAGAATTTTTTATTGAGATGAAGAGAGTGCTTGCGCAAACTTTTGGGTTATACAAATACCATAAACATGGTTTTCTAAAAGTGTAGTTGCATTATACTATGATACAACGATTGCATGAAATCACTACCCATTATGTTATCCCGGAATTAAACAGCTCTCTCTCTCTCCATGCAAGACGAGAACCAGAAAAACATACAATATGGAATTCAAATGAACTCTCACTCTCTGTCGAACACCGAGAAAGGGAAAATATAGGCTTTGGAGTGTCCATCACTATTTTACAAAGATTCCATCACTATGTACTACACAGAAGGCTCTGTGTGTGTGTGTGGAATCAAACAAAAGCCTCTGACATAAATCAGAGGTGGCCTTTTTAATAAAAGCTGGTCATCGAATAAATAGAGGGAATTTAATATTCACATGTGATGTGATAAGAGAGGCACCTTTTTTTTTTATTTTTTTTCCAATTTTCTATATTTGAGGGCAAGCACTGTAATTTTTGATTTGTCTATTTTGGTAGGAAAGAAGCAATTTTTTTGACCAGCCTGTTACAATACATGGACATCTTGGCCCTTGCATGTTAAGTGTTCTCGCCTAGATTTGTTGACGCCTGCCTTTTACAACATTGGTTGGTTCTTATTACATCAATGTGAGCTAAGTCTTAGGCGATTAGCCCGTTGAGAGAAATGTTTTCAAGTTAATTTGATTAGCCTTTCTGCATCCTCATAGGAAAAAGTAGAAAGTTGTCACCGTACATTTTCACATAGTTTCCGATTCCTCATTTGGTCTTCTGTTTATTGCATTATGTAAGAGCATAATCAGCATATTTCCTGTCCACTCATTGACTTTGATGCAGAGTTGTTGTATGCATTATTCCTTGTTCTATTATGGGTCAATTAATGTGGATGCTTTATGCGTTTTGTTTCTACTTGTTATATGTTCTGTTTTCTCTCAATGTTATCAACATATCTGTTTTCCAGGTGGTGCTAGACAAGTTGGTTAAACCCTCTAATGCTATCCTTGACTACAATACAAGGTGCTTCATTTGTTTGATTTGTACGATTAAGTTTGCCTTGGCTTTTTATTTTAATGCCCTGAGATAAAAGGATGACTGTAAGTGGACTGATTTGGGTTATTTCATATTGTAGTTCTATATATTGCAGTTAAAAAACTTGGGACTCCTAATGCTTCTAAACAATTCCTTTCCTGAAAAAATTATTCTTATAGATTTTATTCTTGGAATGTTGGTTTTTGGATTTTGGTCAGTTCCTTGTTATCCATGATGAGCTATATGTAAAAACAGTTTGATTGGTATGCTACTAGATTCATTTAATGATGGTTATGTTGCTGCTATAATTAGCCGACCCCAATTAATTGGGAAAAAGCTATAATGCTGATGTTCCTATAATAACATAAGATTCTTTGCCATGTCAAGCATTGGAATTATAGGAAATAATTAGGTGGTTTTTGAGTATTGGAATCGACTTTGAAAGTGAATTCAGCCTTCGTTTTCTGAATAAACAACAATCTGAAATTTCTGAACCTGTAGAACATAAACTATATGAGGCTTTTTTATTAATCTTTTTTGTAAAGGTGAAAATGCACTCTAGACAGGAAATATAATAACTGCCAAAACCATGTGTCCAATTATTATCACACATGGAGGAGCCTTAGGTTCAAAACAGTTCTGACCCATAATGTACAATTCATTTTGTGCACCTTGAAAGTAGTTTTGGGCTATTCAACCATAAACCAGGACATATGCCCTATTCATTATATTTTGAAGTCTGTGTTTAAAACATGCAAATACTGCTTTTCAGATTTAAATGGGTGCCTTAGATGCACACACATACACCGAAAACTTGGCAGACAAAATTGGTGGAGATGTTGGAGAAAAGAAAAGAAGCAGACCTGAAAAGAAAAACTTGTCGCTTGCTAGATTCACACTGAAATGAAAAAATGCCTGAATCACTGGAAAAACTACTCTGGCAGGACAGAGTCCAAACTCCCGTGAAAGTTGGCACGAGCTTGTCAGCAGATCCATACCTTTCCTTCGTTTATTCAAATGAGTTGTCAGCTCAGCAGGTTGAACAACTTGTGGGTTCCAAAACACAATATTGTGAAAGTTCTAAACCAAGCGCAAATGCATCAGCAAATTCCAAAAGACTCCAATTAACAGAACATGAACAGGATAGAGAAACAACAGGTGCACATGATGATACATGCCGTACTGGAAATAGGAAAGTGAGGATGCTTCGTATCTATGCTACCAGAGATGTACATGTAGCACAGAAATAATACAGTTCCACATAAGAGCAAAATAAAAGGAGCCAAACAAAAAGATGAGCAGGCACGGAAGGGTTATTCTTTGAAGACCTACTTGGAAAAGAATAGATGTCAGAATTGGCAGCGAAGCATGGAAATGGGCAGTGAAGAAGTGACATGTAAATCAACAACACAGCATAGAATCTCCTAAATTAGAGCAAGTCATCTTCATAGGAATTTTTGAATTCTTACTTTCATCTTGGGCTGGTAATGGGCCGGGCAGCCCGGCCCTTCCCGACCTTAAGAAACTAGTGCCCTTTTTTCTTCCTTTTTTTTTTATTTGTTTCTTCATTTTTTTTGGCCTGGCTCGGCCAAGGCCGGGCCAAGGCCATTTCTGGCAACCCAGGCTCGGCTTGTTACCAGCCCTTCTATTATCTAGACTAAATCATGTAAGTTTTGAGTCTTGGGCCTAATGTACCCCTTTGTCTTAGTTATGGACTATTTAACTAGGCACCTACAAGCTGAGGTACTATGGTATATGTTGTCGCGGACGACATGGTTTTGATCAATGAGACGTGAAGCAGCATCAACACAAAGTTAGGACTTTCGAGGGATGCTCTATAATCTAAAAGTTTTAAACTTAGCCCGATTAAGACAAAGTACATGGAATGCAAGTTTATTAATAACAGGAGTAAAGATGAGGAAGTAGTTAAAATTGACAATCAAGAAATCAAAAAAGGGTGCATTTTTGATAACTTGGGTCGATAACCAAGAAAATGGAGTAATTGAGGAAGATGTCACACATAGAATTGGAGTTGAGTAGGCAAAATAAAGATCAACTGGAGTTTTATGAAATTGCCGCATGACAATGAAGCTGAAGGGCAAGTTTTATAAGACACCTGTGAGATCAACTTTGCTTTTTGGGGTGGAATGTTGGGTGGTCAAGAAACAACATGCCCATAGGATGAGTGTAGCTGAGATGAGGATGTCGAGATGGATGAGTGGCAATACAAGAAGGGATAGAATTCAAAATGAATATATTTGGGAGAACTTAAGTAGTGGCTCTAATAGGCGATAAGATGAGAGAGAGCAGACTTAGGTGGATTGGCCATGTACAGGGAGACCTAGTACAACACCTATTAGGATGTGTGAGTTAATTCAATTGGAAGGCTCAAAAAGGGCTAGGGGTAAAAGGGCATGGTTGAAAGTAGTGAGAAAAGATATGGGGACTTATGGCCGCATTGAGGGTATGACCCTTGATAAAGCAGAATGACGAACTAGGATTCGTTTAGCCGACCCTAAATAGTTGGTAAAAGGTTATGATGATGTTGATGACTGTTGGTTCTTATACAAACCAACCCCCTACAACCCCAAGCCTCCGAACAAAAAACATAGAAAAAAGAAAAAAAGAAAAGCAACATTATGGTCCTTGAGATTAGTATAGAGTAGTGAGAATACTTCCCCAAAATCCACCACTTTTGACCATAGTTCTGAAACCTTTTAGAAAAGGTCACGGGCCCACTCTAGAACCTCTATTCCAGTTAGAGATCTTGGATGGAACGCGAATTTCTATATTGTGATCGTCGTTCCCAGCAGGTTTGAACCGCGGTTCTCAAGTGTATGATGTAGTGCATATGATTTTTTTCTATTCGACACTGATGCATATGCACTGATTCAGGTTTGTACCCAATGATACTGTGAACCTACGCATCATTTGCGATCCCTTTAAACTTACTATTGCGATTCCTTCACGGAATCTCGCACTCCTATGATAAGGATTGCGCTCCCTTGATACAGGATTGTATGGACGACGATCCTAACCACAAGGAGCTTTTAGCAATCCACAATTCTGCCGACCCAAGCCAAAGCTCCCTCTTGGGAACGCACCCGCTCCCGACAACTATGCTTTTGACTGAATGGTTGTTAGACCTGGGGGATTTGGGCCCTTTTCAAAAGCTCGAAATAAATTTTTAATGATAGGAGAGCATTTTGGCAGTTGTTTGAGGCCTTTGTAGGTGCCACATCTCACGAAAGATTTTGGAGAAGGACCATCTCTACAATATTGGTTCTTGCACTCATGTACATAAATTCTCTTGATCACAATGAGCGATCTCCAAAAAAATGGAATTCTTAAGGAGAGAGAAACTTTGGTGAATGTTGATTATCTTAGATCTAGTCCGCTATTTTTAGCCTACGCAACTCTTCCATATGATGGATAGTGGATCTAGGCGATCATGAACTGGAGTTTTATTTTATTTTTCTAAAATTGCTTATTTTTTGAATAACATGTGTGTAAAATTTGTGCCCAAAAATATCTCTAGCTATGGTTAATGGGTTTAGGTTGTAGCCCTTTGGCGTACACACATGCATAGAAACACATAAGTGCCTATGTGGGCTAAATCTGACTTAACCAGTTTCAAAATACTCTACATATCAGGATGCATATGCAATCTAAAATATTTTGAGAAATAAGAGGGGAAGATATTTCCTAACTAGTAAAACATCTTGAAGGTACAATTCTTGTTATCACTGTTTCTAAAATTGGCTTGGCCACAAAACTCGGTCATGGCCTAGCTGAGTTACTCGGACGAGTCCAAGTTGACTTTTCCAAGTTTGGTTGGAGCCGTATAACAAGGTCCGAAAAAGTTGAAAAATTCGGGACAAGTCTTGATTAACCATGAGAAATAGAAAAGGGAAGTAATAAAAATGAAATTTTACCCAAAAAAAAAAGGAAAAACCTTTAAAAGATGGAAAATGATTTTTTTGATGATATGGGAACTTCTACTTGCTGAAATTACCTATTAATTTGATGTAGAATACTTCAATTTAAAAATTCTACTATTCTAGTAGAAACAGAAATGTAAAGGACTCATCTCTTGTAAGTGTAAAAATTTACTATTAATGTTAAAGAAAACCAGCATTATTAACAAACAATATTTTATCTTGTCATAAATGTAAAAATTTACTTGCATACAAGAAAATTGAAATAATAAAAAACTATCTTATGCATTTTTTGTTATAGATGGACGATTCAATGAGTGAGTAAAAGCTATGTCAGGTCATTTTTCTAAGAACAGAGCAAACGTATTAATTTAAAATGATAAAAAAAAAGAAGAAACCCAAAATTTTGTGCAAAACTCCTTGTTGAGATCTTTGCGCAAATCTACGCCTCAAATCCTCTTCGAACCTTCTTAAGACGTCCTCAAACCAATTTTCGGTTTGGAGTTTGGATCTAAGAGATTAGGGCTCTTGAAATTTTTGGATGGGATAGTAAATTAAAAAATTGTAATCTCTTAAATCCATACCTTTTGTGGTTTTTGGGGTGAAATAAGCCTATGATTGGATTGAGAACCCAAAAATATGCTTAGGGATGAAATTTTGTTGAAGCCTAACCACTGGTTATGAAGAAATTATAAGTTTCTGAAATGGGGTGTCAGAACCCGTGATCTGCCAAGTCTGTGAAATTTGTTATTTTTTTCTTAAATCTAGTTGCTAGATTGGACCAAATAAGTATGAGATATATGGGCTCAATCAGGATTTCTTCCAAGACAGGAAACAAAATGGTGACAGATATGTGGGCGGATTTCTGCCCCCACCCCCCTTTTTTTAAACTGTTTTCTGAATAGTAGTTGGGGAGTAATGTGCTGAGTGCTGATTGCCCCAGCTATGTAAAACTTGGGAGAAATCGTGCAAGTGTTCTGATTATTATAGAACACGGGTGAGTTTGTACTGTAACTAGCCAAGTCTGTACATTCTTTTTTTGTTCCAATGTAAAATATACAACCGTCAAGTTTTGTTGGGGTTTGGGCTCGGCAGAGTGCCAACCTTAGTAACTTGGGTGAGTCTGAGTTGGACTCAGCAAAGTTGTAAAATATTGCTTCTTATAGATAATTATGTTAACAAATTTAGGTATATATGGTAGAAATATAGTACATCGTTCCTTGGCTACCATGTACTTTGCATCTTGAGGATTGACATAATGCTACATTGAGGAATAGAGTATAGAAGCACCCAACACGCAATCTCCCCCCCCCCCCCCACCCAAAAGGAAAACAAAACACAAACACAGACACACATGAGTGAGAGAGAGAGAGAGAGAGAGAACTGCAGCATGTTGCATTATGGTAGCCATGAGATAATGCGTTCCGAACCCCCTCGTTGACTGTCAACACTATCTCATGCATTACTCCTGAAAACCCATTCTGAATGCTTTTCCAGATGCAGCCCAATGCGAGGCTATCAACTGTTAAAGAGTATGGAAAAAGATGAACATTTAAGTAAATGAACAGCATTTTGTATAAAGGTTGCATTTTGGAGGTGACGTGTGAGGACTGTTTGTTTCAAAATGGGCAACCATGCAGCTGCAGTCGCATTTATTGGAGTGTGGCTGCACCCATAAGAAAACATTTCCATTATTTAAGTCCCAATATTGAAATGCAAAAACAGTTATATTTAATTTTAATTATTTTAAATTACTTTACAGCATATAAGATAAATTAATTACACTAAATTTTTTATTGTTAAGATGATAAGAAACTGAAACATGCAATGGTTCTGAACGGGAGTAGTTTGGAAATAGAAAAGGGATTTCTGGTAAAGGTAGTTTCGAAATAAAAAGGGATATCTAACGTTCAAAAAGAAAAAAAGGGATATCTATAAGGTGGTTGAAATAGGGGTATTCTTGAAATACAAGTATTGAAGCAGGGGTAGTTTCAAGTCTGACACATGACCATCCCTTGGAATCCACATTTAGCATATAGTATAGTTATGTTCATATCGGAAGATTGTGCTACACCATTTACATTGTCACTTGGACCAATCAACATTTGTATGAACCACAACAATTTGCTATATGGTGCTGGAAATCATATAACCAGTATTTCCCATGCACTACATCACATATAATTGTGTGCATGTTAAACTTAATGCTTTGAGTTGAAGCAGGTACAGTGGAATAACACATGAGATGTTGATGGACGTCACGACAACACTTGAGGATATTCAGGTCTGACTTAGCACCTTTTCCTGTGATTTCATTAATACCATCATGTATTCTGAGTTTCAGTGACAATCAGTTTCTTAAAGTTGTATTTATTAAAATAAATAAATAAATAAGTTGTGACTGGAGAAAAAGGGTTTCATGTTGTAGGTGCTTCCATGCTGTGAAACTGAATATTTTGTTCTTGTTCTTATGGCTTCAATTTTGATGGCCAGGCATTATTTTTGAAGCTTGTATACAGGGAAACTATACTTGTTGGTCATTCGTTAGAGAATGACCTCCTTGCTTTGAAGGTCTCCCATGGTTTGGTGATTGATACGGCCATCTTGTACAGACACTCTCGTGGTGCACATTACAAACCAGCATTGCGAGTTCTAGCCCGAAGATTCCTTTCTCGTGATATTCAAATATCAGGACATGGGCATGACAGTGTCGAAGATGCCAAAGCTGCAATGGATTTGGCCCTGCTCAAGATTAGACATGGTAAATGTACTTTCTCTGTGTGTTGGTTTTACTAGCTTTAGGTCATAGCAACACATGTATAATAGCAGTTGTCTTGCTCTAGTTGTCCTCTAACCTATTCGTTGAAGGGAACTCCCCAAAATGTTATTGCCATTGCCAACAAGAAGATGCCCTGTCCTTAGAGAGTTGTCGCTTTCTGGTCCAATCTTTGATTTTCTGATAAGAAAAGTTTGTCTTGCTCTGGTTCCATTTATGTATTAATTGGATATTCTATGCTTCAAGTTCGATCTCAGGCAACATCAGTGTATTACATGACAATCATATATCAAAATAGTAATGGGCTTTGAGATGTATGAAGGGCATGTTCATTTGTCTGTTGTCTGAAACTTAAAGAAGAATTGCCTTTTCGATTAGGAGTTGAATATGAAAGATATGATCCAAGAATGCTGAGTTACAATCTATTCTCCTTTCCTTTTCGGATCATGCATTATAAAATGCACAATGGTGCTCTAATTGCTGCTCATTGGATACCATAATTTTGTTGTATACAGGACCTGATTTTGGCTCTCCAGCAACTTTGCTGCGACAGAAGCTGGTTGCCGTTTTGAGTGAGAATGGCCGAAATTGTGCTCTTATTGATGGGACATCTGTATTAAAACGTTATGCCCATGGATCATGCCATGCAATACCTGCCCATTCGGATGATGATGCTCTTTCAAAGGCCAAAAAGGAGGTCAGTTTGATGACGTTTAATCTTTATGATGATATGTTGGTACTCTTCTTGGCATACTTGTGTTCTTATCATACTTACCTTTTTCCTTATTTTCTTCTTGCAGTTAAAGAATGAAAAATTAAATTTCATATGGACCCAATTGTCAGAGTTGAATTCTTATTATAAACTGCAAGCAAATGATGCAGAGAAGTTCAATGCCCAACTGGCAGAAATGATCTCATTGCTTACTTGTAGTAAGAAGTCTGCTGAAAAGAGGAGACTCCAATATCGGATAAACTCAAGTTTACAGCAAATACTAACTCGCATGAATTCCAGAATTCAGAGCCTTTATGATGCCTTACCTACTAATTCCTTGTTTATTATTTCGACTGGCCATGGTGATACTGCTACCATTCAGAGGTAAATAGTATTCTTATTTTTCACTATAATAGCTAGTTATTGCAGTACTGCAACCTTGAATTATGAGTATTTCTTTTCCCTTTCGTACTTTAATTGAACATTGTTTGTTATTATTCTTAAAAGAAAAAGAAAAATTGTAATAATATTGTCTATGTTTTACAACTCGGTGAGTCCTACTCGAACTCTCCTGTGTGACTTGGGCTCGGCTCCCTGCCGAACCCAAAAAATCCCATCGTGTTGTATATTTTATAAAAAAAAAAAATGTACAGATGCAGGCGAGTTCCTGTACAAACTTGCCCAAGTTATGTAAAACACGGGAAGACTTGCTGGTGTTCTCCTGGGATTGTATGATGTGCGTATCAATGCAGTAGTCACCCAAGTATAGTAAAAAACTAGTTTAAAAGGGGGGCAGAAATTCACACCACTTTTCTTCACCATTTTCGTTCGTGTGCTTTGAAGTAGCCTGATTGAGCCCAAGTTTGTTATACCTACTTATTTTAGGTGATCTATCAACTAGCTTTGACAAATTTCATGGATTTGAGAGATCGAAGATTCTGACATTTGATTTAAAAAACTTGTGATTTTTTTCGCACCGGGTGCTCAATCATTGACAAAATTTCATCCCTAATCCTATTTTGGGCTCTCCACCCAGTCATAGGCTTTATTTCACCCCAAAAAACACGGAGATTCTGGACTTTCGAGATTTCAATTTTTTGGGTTCATTGTTTATCCTAAAAATTCAAGAACCCTAATCTCTCAGATCCGAGCTCCAAATCAATAATTGGTTTGAGGGTTTTGATTGGGTCGTCTTAAGAAGGTTTGACAAGAATTTGAGGTGTTGATTTACATCAAGAGAAAATATATCAAAACTAGGAACTTTAGATGAAATTTTAGGTTTAAATTAACAGGATTGCTTTATTCTTTGAAAGTATGGCCTAATGTAGCATTTACTCACTTGTTGTTGCATTTTTGTTGCAATTTAAATAAAAAAATGTGTAAGATTCAAGTTCCCCTACCCCCCCAAAACAAGAAAACCTCAATTTTTTTTCTATGCACAGTAAATTTTTTCATTTATAAAGAGATATTTTATTGTTTTTTGTAGTTTTGTTTTTTTCTTTTAATGTAGTAGTACAGTTTTACATTTATAAGGGATAAAATTTTACACTTTTGTTTCTTCTAGAATAGTAGAAACTTTGAAGTTGCAGTACGTTACATTGGATTAACATGTAATTTTAGCAACTAGAAATTGCCATATCATAAAAAAAGATTGATTCATATTTTACATGCTTTTATTGTAAAAGATCATTTTGTTTTTTTTGAGAAGAGTTGACTTTATTGTAAACAATCATTTTTATTTTTCCATTTTTTATACTTTAATTTTTTTTTGGAATTTTTTTGAAGTAATGATGACAATGTATGGAGTATAGTTTTAGTATTACAGATGCATGGGAAGTGAGAAGAAGGCAGCCCACAGTCTGGCTGCTCTGTATAACAATCGAATTATATCAAGAAATAGAACTATATCAAAAAATTTGAGTGTAGGTTGGGTCCTCAAACACTCATGATATTTACAGTCAATGGGAAAAGAGAGCGACAAGGCAAAGATCAAAATAAGGCGAAGATTGTCGTTAAAGAGTGTGCAAGGTAGAAAGAGCAGCGGAAGAGGTGGGGGTTTGGTCTGAGACAGTGAAGTAGCGAGAAAAGAGTAAGAGGGGAGAGGTGGTAATGAAGATGCCAGGAGAGTGAAAGGGGGGGGGGGGTGGGGAGATATTTGGAAGGGAGGTGAGGGAGAGAGGAGTGAAAAAGAGAAGAATAGGAGCAGGGAGATAAAAAGAAATGTAGTGCATGCACCGACAAGCCAGGTGCTCAAAGATGGTTGGGGCATTCGGGGGCGGGAGAAAGGAAGGGGGGGGGGGGGACGGGCACCGCAAAGAAATGAGAAAAAGAAACAGAAAGATATACAGTGCAGGAAGCCACAGGCGAGGTGCACAGAGTCTCAAAAAACAGGCCACCTATTACACCCACTCCCAACATTAGACCTGTGAAAAAAGGTTGGACAAGGAACGACAATGATAGAAGAATATGAAGAAGCAAGTAGGAGGGTGAGGTTGTAGTAAAAAGAGGAAGAGGGAGAAAAGAGATTATTAAACATGGAAAAAAAGGTTCCAAAAACCAAAATGTCATGAAGATGATGATCCCCGTAATGGCAACACCTTTCTTGGCTGAATCATTTGCTTATGCGTTAGCCTTCCACCAGATGTGATGAAAGATGGCTCAAATTTGCCTGCTAAGATGGAAAATATGGTAAAAAATATGAGAGAGATGTCAGAGACATTGACTCACATTGACCCAAAGGAAGACCATTCTTGTAGTACCCTTCCACTTTAAGATTTCCCCCCCAATAGGGGTCAAACCTTTTGATCCCTTCCAAAAATGCATTAGCCTCAGCCCAGGGGGAGTTACTAGTGCCAAGGAAGCTATGGGAGGAGGACAAGACATTGCTCTCTGAATCCTTGAAAATTCCCCCAAAACTGCGAGATCCTATATTGCCCAAGGAACATCCGTAAAAAATTCAGCTTAGTGGAGCCCTGACTAGGGAGGATCCACAAAGAAGAACATGGAGGCTTTGGGGAGTCTGAATTTGATGATATCCGACTGTTTCAAAAGGAAATTGGACTTTAAGAGGTGCTTGAGAAGTTTATAATTTGATGCCCAAAAGATAATAAGATTTCGAGCAGACTTCGCAATGTCGTCCTTTGCCTGCCTCTGAAGGTCCTTGATTTTCTCTCCCCATATTGTCCAAAGAGTGGAAAGGACAGGGGCCCCAACTGAGGAAAATGCCAGCTTTTTGGTCGGAGGGGTAGGAAGGGGAGAAATATACCAAGAATAGTTGCTCAGTGGTTGTCGGGGTCCAACCCATGTCCAACTGAAGTTGGCTCGGACTAGACTTAGGCAAGTTGACTCAGACTAGCCAGTTACTTGGCCAGGCTAGGGGCCGATTTCCGTGGCTGAGATGATTTTAAAAACTTTGGTTATTATTCTCCAAAAAAAATAAAAAAAATGCTTTGTTATTATTTTCTTAGGTTCCATGAATATTATTTTTTCTTCCACTTACCAAAATTTATGTTAATATCTAGACATCGAGGTAATCTGAGTAGTAGTCATCGAAGTTATATTAACTTGCTGATGCTCTTGCAAAGTTCTTAAAGTAAAAGGACATGGTGATGCTCTTGGTTAACCTGAAGTTTAGTTCACTACTGAAACACATACTTGTTGAGATTGTGACTGGATACAGGGTCATGTCCTCAATTACGTACACATATATCTCACGGTCTGCTTGAATTATTGTAGTGTTAATCATTCCTTTGTCTTGCTTGACTCAAGAGAAGTGCCATTACCCTGCTGATTGTTGGAAGAGGATATTACTGTATATTGTGACTTCAGTATTTCAGATGCGAGCTTGAAACCAGCCAATATTTAAAAGTCTGATCTCTCTCTATTTCGGTGGAAAGTTGCTTAAAATCATGGGATATCGCTATTAGTTGTCTTAATCTAGAAAAATGTTATTTTAGTGGGTATGCTATGTGTCTTTTCTTTTTAAAAATCTTCTGAAAATTCTCCATTACTTCTTTGGTAGTGTCAAAGAACATTTGACTTTGTCCAATCAATAATCTTGTGGAGTTTATGAGCAACACAATCAGTTGAATTGCCTCTTAAAACGAATGTACGTGTTGTCAGTTTGCCACCTAAAAATGGATGACTTTTTGAATTATGGTTTCTTTAACATGGTTCTATGGTGCTAGATTTTGGATATTACAACTATGGACCCTGGTGCATACTGAACTTCAATTATGGGTTTGACAATGCAGATCTCAATTTACCTTTCTTGACCCTCATGATCATTAACAATGTGAGGCTCCTGCTAGGATGCATGAAGTTTTGGCAAATGAGATTTTCGGGTCCATTTGCATTGGCATAAAGTCATGTAAAACTGCCATTTGGATTGAGTGGTAAATATGATCTTATAATACGTCCCTTAATCCCGTTTCTGGAGATTCAGATGAATCATAGACAACCATTAAGAGTGGTGGGACAATCGGACTTCGCTCAGGACTCGCACAAGTGAGTTGACTCTCATGACTCAGTCTCGATCAGGCTTGAGTAGTTTGAAAGCTTTTATAAAAAAGAAAAAAACTAAAAAATTAAGAAAAAGGAAAAACTAAAGAACAATTTTAGAGGATAAGAGAGAGTTGATTCACCCAAAAAATAGATAAAAGAATAAAGAAAAATTTAATACAGGGCTCGTGCTTTTCCTTCACTCTTGGGTTGGGGGTTATAGCTAAGGCAACCTCTGCCTTGCCACCCACTTATAATAGGATTAAAAGCTCCAAAAATTTGGAAACTTGTATTTGGGGTTAAATCCTCTATGTAAAAATGCATCATGAAGACTGTATACGCACTTGCTGGTCCTCTTTTTTTTCTTAAATAGGTTGTACTTGTTTTTTTGTTAAAGTGAGAAAAACATCTTGTAAAAGTCATCATCATCATCATTTGAGCCTTATCCCAACTATTTGGGGTCGACTATATGAATCCTGTTCTGTCATTGCACTCTATCAAGGGCCATACCTTTAGTCAGACCATAACTCACCATATCTCCTCATTACTTCCATCCATGCTCTTTTGGGCCTTTCCCTTGCCCTTTTAGAGCCTTCCACTTGAACCAAACAGCCCCTCCTAGCTGGTGTTGTTCTAGGTCGGCGTTGTACATGGCTAGGCCACGTCTAGAAAGAGGAAAAGGCGGGGCTTGGGCAGGAGGGGAGTGAGAGAGAGGAGGTACATGTAACCGTGCAAAGATCCCTATACAAAAATGACACTACTCGTGGTTGAAGGTCCTAGAGCTTATGTGAAGAGGGTGGATTGCCGTGTAACAGGTACACTGCATCCTAAACCAACAAATCCCCTCCAAACATGGTAGAACAAATTACGGGAGCAAAGAGAGAAGAGAAAGGGAGGGGGAGTAGATGTATCATGGTTGAGAAGAATGAAACTGCAATGAGAGGGTTGAGAGGTGGGTGGTGTCAATATGGGGCCTACAGCTGTTCCTAAGTTGCAAACTCACAACGTCCTTTTTAGCTAGATCATTTGAGGCATCATTGTTGGTGCAGGAAACAAATCGATGGATTGATTCAAAATTAAAAGGAAGCTAACTAGCCTAACTCCAATGGCTCTATAGAACTCACAAGAATTCAAGGAAACAATGTTTCTGAATAATAATTCAAATCTCCATATGAAATCCCTACACACACACACACGCACGCACACACACACACACACATACACACAAGTTTGATAGAACAAAAGTTACAAAGGTGAATATACGCATATATCCATGTCTATAAACTTCTTCCACACACACACACACACACACACACACACACACAAAAGTTTGATAGAACAAAAGTTACGAAGGCGAATATACGAATATATCCATGACTATAAACTTCTTCTAAACTCCTCTTGCTGTACATACGAACAATACGGCTGCGATTATTCTGAAAACATTTTATCAAACTATTGTGAAATTTATTCAGAGTAATCGCAGCCGTATTTTTCGTATGTACAGCAGGAGGAGTTTGGAAAAAGTTCGCCTTTGTAACCTTTGTTCTATCAAAGTTGTATATATATATATATGTATATATATATCCTCATGTTATTATAAGCTGTAAAATAAACTTTGTACTTGTGAATGTAAAATTTGTTTTGGAACAATATATAGTAAAAATTTCGAATTTGTTTTATTCCTTATGAATAGACTGTCACATCTCAAGAATTTTGGTATTATAAAACTTGGGGTGTGATAGAAGTGACTGTGGATCAACTACATAGTTTAGGGGTCCAAATCATACTGTTTTGCCAATATGTAGAATAAAGATTGATTTGAGGTCACAGAATTGTGGGATAAAGATTGCTCAAAGTTGATGAGAGTCGGGACTGACCTGAGCCAAGTTGACAGTGTGAAGTCATGTGTCCAAGTCTCGATTCTTCAAAACATATTTTGAACATCCCTCTCAACCCCTAGAAGAGAACAAAATTTACATTGTCGAGGCCACACATGTACTGCACTCTTGGTCAGTGTGTCATCCACATTACAGCAAGACGCTAAATCTCTGGTCTTGTTCATTTAATGACATTAAGGCAATCTCCTTTAATGGGATGTCTTTGACCTATTGTTCAAAGCTTGCGATGCATAAGGAGAGTTCTCACTTCATCAAGAGTAGCGCTGCCCATTGGTCTGGGCCGCCCTACTGGCTTCCAGGCTGGACTTGGGTAGCACTGTTCATCTGGCGCACTGGGTTCGGGTGTGTGGTTTGGCGTAAAACGTACGGGCCTGGGCCTAGCTACAAAAGCCAGGGACTGGTTCCGTCTCAGGCCTGGCCAAACCCAGCCTATTGGCAGCCCTATGAGTGTAGTGCTTCCAAATGGGCCTTGAGACCATGGGCTTCTGGGCTGGACCGAGTTTCAGGCCAGGATCGGGCAGCCTGTGTAGAACCATGAGCAGAGCTTGTGCTTGGCATGGTCTAAAGAATTCGGGTGGGTCTGGGCCACCCTGGCCAGCCTGAGCCCGACCTATTTGCAGCGCCAAGCAAGGAAAAGACATCACATACAAAAGAGCTGAGTATGAGAATAATGTCTACCCTCATATGTAAGAGTACCTGCCCTACCTCATGGCTGTAGGTTACTACAAGAAAATGGTCTAGGCAAGGATGAGTTGGGCTGTCATTTTGTAGTTTAATATGTGATTCTTATTCTCATTATGGCTTAGGCAGTTCGGCTATTGTTTCTGTCTAAAGAGTAAATTTATTCCACTGATTAGCGCTGGGTGAGCTAGTTTCGTGGAGCTTTTATGTGTTCTAGGATTTTCTTTTGTAATAAATAGTTTCTGTCGTATGTAGGACATTGAATAGATTCATGTGTTTGACATTGAATAGATTCATGTGTTTGTATTCAATAACGATAGTTATTGCTTAAATTGATTTGTCTGATTCTTCTACTAATGCTTTCGGTGATAGTAAAAACTGGATGTCTAATATTGTTCTTGCTGTCTGTGAATTAGAGTGCGGCAGATGCTCAATGAAAGAAGTGAAACAAAGCTTTGTCATGAGAAACTGGTAAAACTCCTGGAGGAGCTCCAACCCCAGGCTGAAGTAGCGCTTTGTTTTGTGGGTGTTAAACATTAGGAATCACAATGGTCTGGTTGTATTACTTCTTATTTTTTGCAATTTTCTGGCAATCAGATGCCTGTATCTTATATATTCAGCAAATAGAAAGGTTTCATTGTATTATAACTTAAACTAATTTATCTCTTGGATTCTGATTGAATGAGGATCACAATTTTGCATTGGAATTATAAGGCACTTCTAGCATTGGGTGTTATATGAACTTCATGAGTTATTTGCCAATCTTGGGATTTTATTTGACAACGTCATTGCAACCTTGCCTTATTGATGTCTATTTGACACTGGCATTTTTTTGTCAGGCATTACACCAATTTATTGTGGTGGAAACCGAGTTTGCTTCGTAATTTTGGAACGAATAATGGATCAACCCCTATCAGAAAATTCAGAAATTTTGACTCCAAATACTTTTTCCTGAGTAAATTTCGGAAACAAATACTCTTCCCTCGAGTAATTTGGGAAACAAATTTTGTTTCAATAACAGAACAGGGTGCGTGAATTTTGTTTCTTGATTCTTCAGGTAAAAGATATTGGAGGGGAGAAATAAATCAGATATCGGTGAGAGAAGAAATAGAGGGCTATGAGTGGGGTTCGAGTGGGTTTCTCCATGGAAAATTCGATAAATTAGATTGAGAATTTGAGACCATATAGATATCCGAGTGCTGCTGTCTGTTTCAATAAGAAAAATCTATGGCCTAGTTTGAATGCGTTAGTTTTTTTTGACTTTTGGTGGACAAATCTGAAAAAATTAGTTGTAATCAATCATGGCTATCATCAGCATTTCAAAACTCGGATTGGCAGGGTGGATCATCTGCCCAATAGATAGATCCGTGTTGGATTGCCAGTCCAAATCAGTGATTGTTAAGAAGTGACTTATTTCTACATAGACTCATATAAACCGTGTCATTTAATAAACTATTTAAGGCTTTTGGAGTTTGATTTTACAAAGTTTTTATTATTTCTAATCCAACAGTCAAAATATAAGTCATAGCATTAGAAGCCACGACAAGATGATTAAGAGGCCACTAACGAAGCCAACTCGATTGAGACTAAGGCAGATGTGGTGAGAGTCGGGGGTGCTACAACATTACATCTAAAGTTCCATTTTCACCAGGTCCCAAATCAAGATTAAAAAAAAAAAAAAAAATCGAAGTCCCAAATCCAGATTAAAAAGAAGAAAAAAAAAAGAAAAAAAAGAAAAGAAAAGAAAAAAAAAGGCTAAAGCCAACTCTATAAAAAAAAAAGCACACATGCGCATCTGAGCCCCATTTCACACCCCTATAAAAGGCGATAGGTCCATATCCAAATGCTCCAAATTTGGGCATATATTGAAGAGAAAAAGCTTATATAAGGTTGAGGCCCTAAACAACCAAATTAAAGTCCACCTAAAAAATTTAGTGGTTAGTGGAAGAAAGTTTATTTCAATGCTGAAAAACCCTAAAATCCGATTATCTTGACTTTGCAATACATAGTCATAAAAAAAGGGAAAATTATGTAAATATCGGTTAATTATGTAAATATCTGTTATACTTTTCGTTATTACAAGAATCCTTGAAACTTTATGTTATTACACAAATGTCTGTTTTTTCAACTTCATAATAATTTTTTTAAAAAAGATAAAACTGCTCATTTTCGATTTTTGAAAAAAATAATTTTTTTAATTTTTAGTTTTCCAAAAACCTTTTTTATTTTATTTTATTTTAATTTTCGTTTTTTCAAAAACTGAAAATTTTTAAATTTCGGCTTTTGAAAAATCAAATTTTTTTTTAATTTCAGTTTTTCAAAACTGAAAAAAAAAAATTTGGTTTTTGAAAAACCGAATTTCAAAAAGCCAAAAATTTTAAATATCAATATCATGTATGCTCAAATATTTAAACTTAAGGTTAAATTGGATTTTTGGTTATCAAGCATGCCTCTACAGTTTCATTTCAAAGGTGAGTCCCCCATATGCAATCAATTTTTTTTAATAAAAAATAGAGATTTTTTTATTTGATTAAAAAGCCAAAAAAAAAGCCCCATTATGGAATGGGCATGGATTTTCGATTATCATGCATGCTTCTACACTTTCACCTCGAGGGTTCAAATCCCCCCATACACAATCGAATTTTTTAATAAGAAATAGATCTTTTTTATTTTATTAAAAAGTAAAAAAAAATCCCCATCATGTAATGGCAGGATTTGATACCAAAACCTCTTAAAGAAAATCATATGCTATTACCACTAGTAATAGTGTGCTAAAAAGCAATAAAATTCGGTTTTTCACTTATTTTTTTAACATGCCGAGTTAACAAGAAATAAAATTCGGTTTTTGCAAAATTAATTGTTTTTTTAATTTTAGTTTTTGAAAAACCAATTTTTTTTTTTAAAATTTGATTTTTCAAAAACTGAAAATTGACAGTTTCATCTTTTTTTTTTTATAAAAAAAGTGTTATAAAGTTGAAAAAACAGACAAAATAATAACAGAAATTTTTAGGTATTTTCATAACAACAGGAAATATAATGGATATTTACATAATTTTCCCTAAAAAAATAGATTTGAAGCCTTGCAGATAGTGCACATTGTAACATATTATCTAGGCCATCAATTTTCAAGATTTTCAAGTGATCTATACTATTTTTGAAACTTGAATTTCATAAATAGAGATGAAAATAAAATGTGAAGCCATTCTAAAGATTTTAAGTGCTGAAACATCTTTCCACACTTTTTGAGGGTACGCCATACTTCGATTGTTTAGGGCTTAGCCTTAATACAAACCACACCCATATCTAAGACTTCATAATTTAAAGGAATGTTTGTGAAGCATCCAGCACCTCGTTGAGTCAGACGGTATTGAAAAAATAGTTTCTTAGTATTGTGTTACTTTCTAGTAATTGGATATTGGTAAGTGGATATACCCACTAGGCCTTTATGCCATAGGAATCTAATCCATACCATGCAATCCGTCACATATAAATAATTTGGAAAGCATTATATTGGGTATTTGAGCTTTTACTGCATGTCTTCTCTTCATGTAAGACATTTATTATACCAAATATCTGATGTATTATTGATACTACAATAGATTACCTTTCATTATTTAAACCCATTATGCATTTCACAAATATCGTAAAGCAATGGCTGTTGGTTCAAAATTTAAAATTGAGTCATGCTTTTGTCCCACATCGCATTAAAAACATTTATGGAACTATTACTGAACAAAAAATTGTGGCATTATTGTCATGATAAAGTGTTTAACATGTTTGTTGACTACAAAACTAACAAGCATATGCAGATACGGTTTGTCGATAGATGTCCCCCTCTAGCTATGACTAAAAGCCATTACATTCGGGCTCTTGGCTCGGTGGTTCGGGCATTGAAGGCTGCAACCAATCATAGAAGGCTCGATTCCCAGCTTATCATGCCCAACTCCCTAAGATACAAAAAAGAAGAGAAAGTGTTGCAAGGGTTTATTGATCCAATATTATAACATCTGATTTGTACGAAAGAGGTTAAGAGTTCAGACATGTAAATTTTATCCCAAGAAGACATGGTTAAAAAGAACCAGTTAACTCAAATTCTATCTTGACAATGTTGTCCTGCAAATAATACATATTTTCATGTACAACAAATAAGAGAACGTATGGGGAAGAAAGCCATACCTAAATGGTTCAACATAGAAATAGCTCTAATGCCAAGCCGAGGCCGTAACCAGGGTTTTGTCCTCCCACCCAAAGTACAACGCACCTGCCTCTTCCTTCACAGTGTATCTATTGCAATAAGACCTCAATAGTGAGCCAATCGCACTCTTCACCTGTGAGCCTAGAGGAGATGGAGAGAACCCAGCCATCGTCATCCTCACCCTCCACTTTCCTGCTGTCTCATACCTCTCGATCCTGTCCGCCCCCTCGCAGGCAACTATGTTAACTATGTCCCTAGCCAAACAATGCCTCTCCACATTCATTCTGTCTGTGCTCTCTCGGGCAAGCGTAAGATCCAAAGACTCAAAAACCGCCAAGTAATACTCATATGCCTCAGCAAACCTTGCCAAAAATGGCGACGTATTCGTATTCACATCTTGCTCGACAAAGGTTACAAGCTTTGGTCCTAGCCCCCTCACCATCCTTAGCAGACGGTCCCGCTCGTTCACAGTCGACACACTCTCATCAGGCATGTGGTGCAGTTGGAATGCAAAGTTCACTATAAGGGCCTCATCGGGTCTACATGCCAGCATGGAGGGCCGCACATCCTTGGTCTTTGATGCCACTGCCCTAAACTCAAAGGGGAGTCCTAAGGCCTCTGCTAACTTCTCAAGCCTTTGGCCAATGATCATGAGGCCACCTACTGAGCGTTGGACTGACTCGGGGTCATCCACACCTGTTAGGCACAAGTGTGGTCGCCTGCCTGGCCTAGAGGCAAGGGCTTGTATCAAAGTGATGTATTGACTCCCTTGGTTGATATCGAAATCAATGATGTGTACCCTTTCTTCGTCCTTGATGGCCTCAGTAATGGTACCATTGGCTGCCACAAAGCCGAATTTAAAGCAAGGGCATACCTCGAAGAGGATTTGCATGGCAGAGAGCCTATCTAGGCTTGGGGGCTCTTTGCATCTTAGGGCTTTGTATAGGCCTTGGCCTGATGAGGCCATTCGGGCTGCTAGGCCCTCAACCATATAGGCAGCGATCCTTTGAGGTGGGTCACCTTGGACGGAGACCATTTGCCTTAGCTCATTTACCATTGTGGTGGCCCCCCCGAGGTTTCCTTCTGATATGGCAGTTGCACACCCAAAGAGTATTTGCTTGGGAGTGAGAGAAGTTGTAGAGCTCAAGCAAGGGCTTATGATATTTGAAGTGGGAGAGTCTCTATTAGTGCTGGTGCTTGAGGTGGAGTTGGAGGTGGTGGTGGTCGTGGTGCTGGTGCTTGTGAGGTTTGAGTCAGAGGGTTCCTTAGGTGAGTTTGGTAGAAGGCTCTCTATCATGTCAATGGGCATGTCATGCCCATCATATACGCATTCATCACTATCGTCAAGCAATTCCATTTCCAATTCTTGGAGTTTCCTCCTCATCTCCTCTGCATCATCATACATGGTCCTCCCATGTTCATCCATGCTTTCATATGCATATCCATGATGACTAGAATCATACAGCGATGAGGTATGGGATTGTGCAATGGATGCCATGTTACATGACTCTTGAGAATTTGCAGAAGGGCCCAAACTTGAAATTAGGTGATATGGGCTGGAGCCAGTCGGTGTGGGTGGGAAGAAGTCAACTTGTTGGGAGATAAATTCTTCTAATGGGGAGTCAGAAAACGGCAGTTGGTTATGGACCTCGCCATAGAAGTCGGGCAAATACTTTAAGTTTATCCTGTCTAAGCTAAATGAACGGGTTGGCAAGCCCTGGGCTCTGGTGCTGCTTTGGAGTGCATAGAGGTTGGGGTCACCATATAAAGTGGAAGATGGATCGGTGGATCTCAATAAAGACATGGTTTCCTTCGTCAATGTATCTAACAAGTACGGTTAAAAGCTTGTTTCACCATTGTAAAAAGGAGAATCTAACATAAAGATGCGATTAAAGGGGCCTTCCATGAAAGACATTCAAGAAATGCTGGGAACTCTGAAATAAGTCAAGGAAGATAAATAAGAATCATGAACCATTTCTCTATTTCACCAATAAAGCAGAAAAACAGAAGCTGAATATTGGAATCATACAAGAAATTTCTCAGTTTTTGAAGTCAAATGGTGCATATGCATGTACGGTGTAATCAAACCAGCATAACATTTGTTTTAAACATTTGAGAAAATGAAATGAAAAAAATACATGCAAAGTTCTAGAGAAACATATAGAAGATATGACTAAACTTTACTCATTGTTACATTGGGCTCCATCTGCATAAAATTTTATCTTATGCAGATGGAGAAGGTTAGGTCTAGAACATTAGATTTTTTTCTTTTTTTAGTTGATGAATATTATGGGAGAAGCTTATGTCTAAATTAAATTAACCTTAACGGTGTTGTTGTCCTCATCTAAGATTTCGAGATGTATACAAATAAAAGAAGCTCTACAACCTCCTTTTGGAAGTTGTAAATGGAGCATCAGAATCATCTATTGAACTGCTCCCTGAGACACTTCTACGATTAAGGAACACCTATATCAAAGTAAACAATTGCATTAACTATTAAAACACATCCTGAATTTCATTTTCGTTAGCTCATAGAAGTTGTTTACTACCATGGAAAGATTTCATTACAAAGTTACCACTCTGGAAAATGTAAATCCTTCTATCATAAGTCACACAGCCAGTGAACTCTATTCCACATGTCAACTTTTATAATAAAAATTACTCATTAGTGAGTCAGTTGGGCAAATCAAATAACATGTTCTTCCAACATTTCATTTCTGAAGGATACGTATTGTTTATTGGAAACTACTAGGGCTTTCACCAAAAAGCCTCCGAATCCTGCAAAGTGACCCACCAAAAATAAAAAAAAGAAAAAGATCAAGGACACAAACCAAATGGATTTCATAGTATTTGTGCCAAATTCACAGAACAATGAAGAAACAAAAGAGGAGCATGTTGTATGTGATCATAAATGGGATAGTTCTTAACCAGAACAGTGGTAATTCTAATCTTTAGAGCACTGAAATTTTGGGAATGGTTACTTTGGCATGACAGGAGATCACATTTTACAAGCCAATTGCTCTCATTCATATTCTCAGGGATTTCAATCACAGCATTTACCAACATACAATAATGATTGGAAGGCATCAAAAAGCACAACATAGAAACCCAAATATTTTCCCCGGCCTCCAATGCATGAAAGTAATTTTCTGAAAGAGCATGGATCAGCATATTAAAAGTTGAAAATCATGCTCCTGGCTATCATCTAAAAGTAGAAATACCGCCTATTTGGCCATACTAAGAAACATAACTTGAACTATATATAAATGAGATTTGTTTTCTAGATCCTGATCTCATACTTTCTCCAATTGAACAGCAACATGGCTAGTGAAAACGGTTCAGAATTAAACTTTAAAGGTTACACCAAATTGCATTGCAGAGAAAGCAAGGGGATATACTAGAGATTTTACGATGTTTTAGAAAAAGAATATACTGAAATTCCATGAACAAGTACATTAAAGCGATGAGGTACATACCGAGTGTTTATTCTCCACCCTTAATTGTAATAACAGGAAAAGCTCCGTGAACTCTTGTTTGAAAGTAATCAAAGAAAGGTGAAGACATAGCCATTGATTGTTGTTGTGAGCAATCAAAAACTAAAGGGCCTCATAACCACTAATTGCAGGTAAAGGGCCTCATAACCACTAATTGCAATTTAACACTACTACCAATCTCTTATTCTCATATGTTAAATTAAAAAAATGGCACAAAATTCATGAATCAATCCCAAAAAGAATAAGAGAAAATAGTTGTTTCAAATAGGGAATTAATCATATTTGCAACAAAGAAGATGGAAAGGATGCTTTACCAGAGTTGCTGATCAAACTGGTGATGGTTTTCGAGGGGACCCTTTTGAATGGTCAATCTTACTTGGTTTCTTGGGGTTGAAGGACGAGGTGAGATGCAGGGAAAGTTCAGGAAGGAGTTGCAGAGAGAGAAAAGGAACTAAATGGTTTGACCATGAGCAACTTGATGAAAGGGCAAAGGGATAAAGCAGATGACAATTTCTCCAAAGATTTTATTAAAAAATGGAAGGTGGGCAAAACTGGGAAAGTCAGTTTGGTGGAAAGCAGGCAGAAAACCATGACTGACGCAAACGGTAAGTTAAAGAAAGACCCAGACTATAACTTTATAGAGAGAGGAGAGAGAGAGGAAACCCATCAGTTTTTACCAGAGAGAGAAAAAGACCCAGATTATTAGTTTCTAGAGAGGAAACTCAATCAGTTTTTACCAGAGAGATCAATAGGGGAAAGCAATCAGTTTTTTTACATGGGTTTGGGTGGTTTTCGACCCACTGATTGGAGATGGAACGTCATTTTACAATGGGACGTGCAAGGGCAAAAGAATTCAGAGCCTGATGAGGAGTGCACTTATTATCGTTTAGAGAAACAGAGTTGACAGTGCAAGCAGTAAAGCAGTCAACCATAATTACTCAAGAGGGACAGTAAAGCAGTTCGTTGCTGACGCTATATAAATGAGAGGTAAAAGTGCTGTCGAGAGGGAAATAAGGTGAAAGTCTAATTGATTTTGAACTGATAGAATTCGAAATGAATTTTTTCGATAAAGTTTAAGTGTCATGTTTATATACCAGAAAATGAAAGAGAGCAAATATAGATGGATTGGTCATTTATAATATCGATTCAGTACGATATTTATTAAAAAGTAGAGTCAATTTAAATGAAAAGATCAAAAAAAATATCAACCTAATACAACACTTATGAGGCGACAGAGTTAATTTATCGAATCGAAAAAAAAAAAAGAAAAATAAATTTAAAAAAATATAGTTGGAAGTAAAATAAAAAAAAGATGAGAACCCATAATCTGAGTGAGGGTAGTCCTGATGATAATGGTGATGAGAGAGAAATAAGGCTGAGTGTTGTCTTTTAGAGAGAGGTACAAGTGTTGGAGAGAGGCGAGAGTTTCGTAGAAATTGAGTGAAATAAGGTGAAAGTCGTGTTTTTGTTGAAATGGGTGACAACAAAGGATGAAGTCCGTTTCCACCGAAAATTCCACATGGAAGTTGCCAGACAAAAACCCCTGGGCTCTTACTCACAATTTCAATGTTATGAAATATGAATATTTATATATGACAAATAGTTTGATAGGACTGCAATCTTATTAAAATAAATAAAGTCTCACTTCATAATTCATCAAAAATTATAATTCCGGTATTGAAAAACCTTTACATAGATCATCTAAGCTTGAACATATTTGTCGTTAAAAATAAGCTCTAACAATTTGTATATTGTAACAAATTATCTAGACCATACATATCACCCTAAAAATAAGTGTTTATAGATCCACAATATTTATACCTCGGTGTTGAAAATTGATTTAGATCCATCATGGAGATTTCCCATTTCTTGGATTGGGACAGTGCTTTCTAAACAAGGATTTGAGGTGAGATTTTATTTTGTGTTCATAAAAGCTAAGCTTTATAAAAACTTCACCTCTTATATATGAGTAAAACTTACCTTGAAATAGTATCGAAAAATGTAGTTTCAATATTAGAAATTTTTGTGATAGCTTTAAAATATATTTTCATATTTAATTATAAAATTTAAAGCTTCAAAAATAGTGTATATCGAGCATATATATGAAAACGTGAAATCTTGAAAATTGACAGTCCAAAAATACGTTACAAGATGCAATATTTTCAAAACTTGAAATCTATATTTTTCCTTTTGTCTGTACATCTTGATGTTGCGATGATAAATTTGAACATCAAAACAACCTCTTTTAATGAAATTTTTGAAGTGGGCAAAAATTTGATTGTTTAGAGCACCGGCTCTATATAAGCTTTTTCCTTATATATTTGGATGGAAAGAGAGAAAATGGTGACGTATGCAATTGCGTATGAGAGAGAAATGGTAGGGCCCCTGGTTTGTGTTTGTGGGTTCAAAGTTTGAAACAAAACCGTGTCTTTCTCTCTCTACCTGCACCGTCTCTCTCTCTCTCTTAATGGTAGCGTCCCATTTGATCCCTCAATCCTGACCGTGTGTTTAAATCTTCCCTCTTCCATGAATTAATGTTTCCCCACTTGTCTTTCTTCCACTCTGACCATCTCTCTATATTTCACTATGTATCTCTCTCACACACTCTTATCTCTCACTTTCAATATGATTTTGTTTATTCGGAAAATTATTAAAACCCTCAAGTTCGATGTTATTTTTCTAATGCATTTGCTGGAAATTATCTCGCACTCATTATTTAAAAGTAGATTTTTTTTTACCGACCAAAAGTACGTTTCGGTTTTATTTGAGACAGAATAACATTATTACTGAATTTTACAAAAATCAAAATAAACGTTGATACTTCTCTCTCGCTTTACCCGTTTTTGTCTTTTTGAGCCTACCTTTCTTTCATACTTATCTCTCTCTCTCTCAAAATATGAATGAGTTCCTTGATTTCTTTCCCTTAAGTTCTCACTCTTTCTCTAAAAAAAATGTGAATAGGTTTTTAGTTGCTCTATCTAAAACTCTCTCTCTCTCTAAAAGCATAAATAGGTTTGTTGGTTTCTCTCTCTTAAAATGTGCATGGTTTGTTAGTTTATCTTACTTTTCCATTTTTCCTCTCTTTAAATAGAGAAACCAACTAATTCATTTAATTTATAGAGAGAGATATGAATATGAATAGAAATGTAGATCTAGAGAGAAAAAAATGAAATAAAAAAAGAGAGAAATATAAATGTTTATTTTAACTTTTATAAAAGTTATATATAAAATTAAAAAGTACCGTAGGTAAGTTAAAAAAAATAAAAAAGATTTGGGGCAACAGGTGGATGGACATCTCAACCGGAGGCATTAGGAGGAAAATATCCAACCCGGGGATTTTTAGTAAATTTCTTGAGATTATTTCTCCAAATAGATAGAATCATATTACTTAAGGAAAAGTTTATATAGAGCCGATACTCTAAACAATCAAATTAGAGCCTACCTCACAAATTTCACTAGAAGAGGTTTTTTGATATACAAATATCCTCAAATTGATCATCTTGACATCAAGATGCATGGATATGAGAAAAAAATGCATTTCAAGTTTTGGAAATAATGTATTTTGTAATTAATTTTTGGACCGTCAATTTTCAAGATTTTTAAGTTTTTATAGATTTATCAATCTACACTATTTTTGAAACTTTAAATTGGATAAATAAAGATAAAAATATATTTTAAGGTTATCAAAAAAATTTCTAGTATTGAAACTACATTTCTCGACACTATTTGTAGGTAGGCTCTAATTTGATTTTTTAGAGCCTAGGCTCTATACAAATGGCACCCTATTACTAATTCTTTGACTAAACGGTGTGGTTTGCATAAAACCTAGGCTATAAACAATTAAAGCATAGTGCACCTGCAAATAGTGTTGAAAAATATGGTTTCAATACTGAAAATTTTTGTGATAGCCTTAAAATATATTTTCATTTCTAATTATAAAATTTAAAGATTAAAAAATAGTTTTGATGAAGCATATCTATAAAATCTTGAAAATTGACAGTAAAAAAATGCATTACAAGATGCACTATTTCCAAAACTTGAAATCCAATTTTTTCTCTTGTCCATGCATCTTGATGTTGAGATGATCATTTTGAAGATATTTAGGTATCAAAACAACATCTTCTAGTGAAATTTTTGAGGTGCCCTCTAATTTGATTGTTTTGAGCACCGGTTCTATATAAACATTTTCTTTTACTAAAAACCCATGGGTGTGATTTGTATTCAGCCGAGGCTTTAAACAATCAAATTAGATCCTACCTTCAAATAATGTTGCGATATATGGTTTCAATATTGGAAAGTTTTGTGATAGCCTTAAATTATATTTTTATATTTAGTTATAAAATTTAAAGCTTAAAAAACAATGTAGATCGAATGGATCTATAAAAACTTGAAAATCTTGAAACTTGACAGTTTAAAAATACGTTACAAGATGCACTATTTTTAAATCGTAATTTTTTTCTCATGTCCATTATTAATGATGTAGGCTCTAATTTAATGGTTGAGAGCCCAGGCTCTATATAAACTTTTTCCTTAAAAGTTTACCTTTCCCCTGCCACCATGCGCCTCACTGTCAGAAAATTTATTTTGTGCCTCAGTCAAATTAATTTTAGTTGAATGTTCAAATACGTTACCGTTCCAATTTTTGAAGGGTGTGGTTTCCATAAGGTTGCAACCATAAACCACACCTTCAAATTTTATCATAACATATAATTTTGATATAAAATAATCTTAAGATTATCTCAAAGTCTATTTTCAAATCTAATTATAAAATTTTAAACCTTAAAAATGATTAAAATCAAGTAGATCTATAAACATATGACACTCTTGAAAATAGACAGTCTACATAATGTATTATAAGATGCACGGGACTCAAAAACCTTTTCTTTTCATGGTCATAAATTTCGATGTCGAAATAATCAATTAGAGGGTTTTTTAAAATTAAAACAACTTTACCGATAGATTTTTTCGATGCATATGTAGTTCTACATTTTAAGGATGTAACTTTATATAAACTTTTCCCAAAAATGTAACTTTATATAAACTTTTCCCATTTTTGAATATAGTGAATAAGGGATTTTAATGGAGGGAAAGCTTTGTGTGACCTCAACGACACATACATTATACGTGACTCAATTCTCAGTCGTTTGATCTAAATTGACGGTTAAGATTTCTCATGTCACAATGTCACATTAAAATACTTTTTCATTTTTAACTTTTTCTACAAAACTTTTGGCTGAAATTTAGGGCGCCTTGTCTCCTCTTATGGGGGCGTACATAGCAAAAAATAATAATAAAATATTTCTCATAAACATAAATAACCAAAATGCCCTTAAAAGTTAAGAGGTATTCTGATAATTTTCCACCTCAAAAATATTGTTTTATTATTTTTAGGGTGTGGTTTCTATAAGATTGCAACCTTAAATAATCCAATTATGGCACACCTCCAAATTTCATAATAACATGTAATTTTGGTGTAATAAATTCTTAAGATTATCTTAAAATCTACTTTCATATCTAATTACAAAATTTTAAACTCCAAGAATGGCTAAAATCAAGTAGATCAATAAATATATGGAAACCTTGAAAATGGACGGTCTAGATAACGTGTTGCAAGATGCACTATTTATGGGACTCAAAATCTTTAGTTTTTTTTCATATTCATACATCTCGATGCCGAGATGATCTATTAGGGAGTTTTTCAAGATTAAAACAACATTTTCCTATGGATTTTTGGGGTGCTTCTTTAATTCTACATTTTAAGGTTGCAACCTTATAAAACCTTTTCCTTTTTATGTACAAAATGGGTACAATTACTGAATTTATTCTTTGGTCCATAAGTTTGGTAATTTTAGCGTAAGGTCCCATTTCCTTTATTTTTATT